AAGGCAGACGCTTAACGACTGAGCCACCCAGGCGCCCCATTTATACCCATTTTTATTTGTATCTCCTTCATCGTTCTTACTTAAATATAATTTAGTATTTATACCATCTTACAGTTTACCTTCTTTAAATATTCTGGTCATCATTCATTCCATAATAGAACTTAGAGCTTTTTACAGAATTTCTTTTTACAATTTTGTAATACTTCACTGTTACTATTTATACTGTTGTTATATTGTTATTATACCATTGTTAATTCAGTCATTTCTTACTGATGGATATTTGGGTTGTTTCCAGTATTTTGTTATTATAAATTACACCATGTCCATATACCCCTTGTGTTTCTGACCACTGGGTTGGATAAAATCTTAATATTTTAAATTTAAAGGTATGCTAGAATAATAATAAAAATTGGGGGAGTGGGAGACAGCATTTGGGGCTACCGTTTATAAATCATCACCTTTTAGGGGCACCTGGGTGGCTCGGTGGGTTAGGTGTCCAACTCTTGGCTTTGCCTTAGGTCATGATCTCGTGGTTGTGGGATCAAGCCCCACATAGGGCTTTGCGCTCTGTGCGGAGTCTCTTTGGGATTCTCTCTCCCTCTCCTTCTGCCCCTCCCTGCTTGTGCATGCTGTCTCTTTTTCTCTCTCTCTCAAATAAATAAAATCTTTAAAAGAGAAAAATCATCACCTTTTATAAATAATGTCAATTTGGGGTATTAACTTCTTGTCTTCATCTCTGTGTATGTATTTTTAAATAATTGGTACCATATATGTTATAGTTTTCTCGTTTAAAATTAAATTATAAATTTTTACATATTCTTTACATCCATCATAATTATTTTTAAAGATTTATTTATTTATTTTATGAGAGAGGGAGAGCATGCGCACACGAGTGAGGGAGGGGCGGAGGGAGAGGGAGAGAAGCAGACCCCCTGCTGAGTGCAGAGCCCAACACGGGGCTGATCTCCCAACCCTGAGATCACGACCCAGAGCTGAAACCAAGAGTCAGACGTTCAACTGACTGAGCCACCCAGGTGCCCCACATTCATCATAATTTTTAATGAGCATATTCATGTTGTATAAAGATTTGCAAAAATAGATTACTACTGATGGATATTTAGAATATTTGTTTTGTCTTTTTTTGCTAGCAGTATTGGGAGTATCTCTTTGTATGTTTAGATCTGCTTCTTCTGAGTAAATTCTCAATACTAGGATGACCAGGTGAAAGAGGGTGAAAAGTTTAATGATTATTTAAACATGTTGCCATAATGTTTTACAAAAAGACTATTGCATTTACATTTGCAGCTGTGTGAGTATAGCAGCTAGCTTTTATACCTATCACATTCCGCCTTACATTGCAAACATTTATAGATGCATTGTCTCTCCTTCTATATTGTATGGCAGTGGCTATGCCTGTTTATATGCCTTTTTTGGGGGGGGGCCTAACATTGCTTTTCTTGATATATTTATCAAGTATACATACAGTTTAGAATTGCTTGATGAATGGGATATGTTATAATCATATGTAAAAGCTCATTGGATAGTGTAAGTAATATACATAAACAGCATAATACAGTATGTAGTTAGGAAGTTATAAGTAATGTTTTGATATTGTTTGTGATAGTGTATTGGTTCCCCTCATACAGGTTGGAGACCTTAGGCTGGCACTGCAACGTGCAGAACAAGCAGCTGCCAGAAAAGAGGATTATTTACGCCATGAGATCGGTGAACTCCAACAGGTACTATCACAGTTTTCCTAAACACAAATCAAAGATGTGTTTTCCTAGAAATAAGTCATTCAGTGGAGATAATGTTCATGGAATTGAGAGGATTACTACCATATTTTATCATTTGCTATATTTTTGTGGCTTATATGAATAAAACCAGAGTGGACACCTTAAAAATAAACATAAGAAGCCTAATTTTGTTTAATAGAAAATAATTTTATCATGATAGATTTTGTGTCAGTATTGTTTTTTTCATTTGTTATAGCTAGTTTATTAGTATCAGTCTTTGATTACTGTGGGGCAGATAATCAGTGACAGTTTTTATACTACTACTCAATTTTCAGTCAGTGAACATGCATGGGAAAAGGGAGAGAAAATGCAACTCAGATTGATCTTTCTGTTTTTGTAAATACTTAGAAATATTTGGATGATGAGGCAACTGCTGGGAGGTTTAAATGATAGTCTTTTTTACCTTAAGGTAATCAAAAGCTATCTTTGTATTAGAAAAGCTTTGTAAAGAAGTACTTATTTAGATACTGTTATGCATTCTAACTCTAACTTAAGGATTGAATAATTAGAAAATAATGTAATTAAAAACAATTTTATCTTGGTGAAATAATATTTTCCAGAAATCTTTCATAAAGTTTGTTTCCTAGTATTTTTAGAGTTTTCATTGCTGTTAATGGTAGTGACTTAAGAATTTCATGATTCAGAGACTCCAGGAAGCAGAGAATCGAAACCAAGAGTTGAGTCAGAGTGTTTCATCAACAACAAGACCATTGCTTCGACAGATAGAAAATTTGCAAGCAACTCTGGGGTCCCAGACATCATCGTGGGAGAAGTTAGAGAAGAATCTTTCTGATAGACTTGGTAACTGCTTTAGTTCTTAAGCTCAATGCAAAAGCCCTTTCCTCTTGTTTATAGAATTAGAATAATGGTATGAAATTGAAATTCACTTGATTTGATAGTTATACTTTATGTCTAACTTGTAGAGTTTTACCTCTTCTCCTTTTTTACTTTTATTTTCTGATATCCTAATTGACTCAAACCATTTGTTTTCCCTTACACAGTATGTCAGATACTGTCCCATATACTTCCATGTCATCCTTTCATATTTACAGACCACGGCACTCACTTTTTTCCTTGTCTTTTGCTACATCTGACCCCTTTCTAGCTTGTCTGCAATAATATAGTAGATAGAGATCAGATATGATTCTAGTCCTTGGTAGAATTCCAGGAGCAGAGATAGGTCTACTAGACAGATTCTGTGGAGTCTTGATTCTTCTATATAGAAATGCTTCAGTTTGTCTTTATGTGCTGTTATTAAGAAAATAATTATTCCAAGATGTTTATGCAAGCAAAGATAAATAGCCCATATATATATACACATATATATATACACACACACACACACACATGCACATAGCGCGCGTGTGTGTGTGTACACACAGATAAGTAGCATATATATATATACACATATAGCGTGTGTGTGTGTACACACAGATAAGTAGCATATATATATATACACACATAGCATGTGTGTGTGTGTATACACAGATAAGTAGCATATATATATATATATACACACACACACACACACATAGCGTGTGGGTGTGAATACATACAGATAAATAGCGCATATATATATATACACACACACACATAGCGTGTGTGTGTGTACACACAGATAAGTAGCGTATATATACACACTGTGTGTGTGTGTACACACATATAAGTAGCATGTATATATACACACTGTGTGTGTGTGTACACACAGATAAGTAGCATATATATATACACACACATAGCGTGTGTGTGTGTGTACACACAGATTAGCATGTATATATATATACACACACATAGCATGTGTGTGTGTATACACCCAGATAAGTAGCATGTATATATATATCTATACACATAGCATGTGTGTGTATACACAGAGAAGTAGCATATATATATATATATTTATACACATAGCGTGCGTGTGTACACACAGATGAGTAGCATATATATATATACACACACATAGCGTGTGTGTGTACACACACAGATAAGTAGCACACATATATATATATATATGCTGTATAAGTAGCATATGTATATATATCTATACCCACACACACACACACACACACACATACACACACACACATATATTAGATATCCCAGAAGCTGGCTAATTCATGAAAAATTCGTATGTTCTTTCTATTCCTAAAACTAACTGTAACTTGAGAGACACCATGGTACAGTGATAAAAGCAGGCCTGAATGGGTGTCTCTGTAAATCATGAGGGGTAGACTGGATTAGTGGTTTTCACACAGTATTCAGTGGACCCCTTAGATGTCTTAGGACTAGCTGTCATGGTGAGAGGGCAGCTCTGTAATTAAGGTGCTTGATGTATCCTTCCCGGCTGCTTTAAGGAAACTAGTGCCTCCTTTTTGATCTTGTTTTATTTTTTGAGTTCCATGTGAGATTATATCTGGAAAAAGATTCATCTGCTTAAAAAAATCACTGAACTAGATGAACCTTTATATATCATTTAATTTATAGGTATAAATCTTAGGCCTGTCATTTGTTATTAAGACCCATTTGCTATGAAAATGAGACATCTGAAAATGACAGCTTCTGAAATGAATTTTTTTTTAGCAGTAAATGAAAACTAGAAGCTGTTATTCTTGTGGTTTTTAAACTGGACTCCACATCCTCTCAGTGATATGTGGTATTGTGCTCAAATATAAGCATATGGGACACACATACCAAATAATGCTTTTAATAGGAGTGTAAATACATTATGTAACAATATAAAGTAAAAAATAGAGGTAGTATTAGGTCTACTTTGGTGGGGAAAAAATAAATCTCAGAGTTGTATCCACTAATCTTTTTTTAACTGGAATTTTTTATTGAGATATTTGTAGATTTACATGCAGTTTTAAGAAATAATACAGGTGGTCCCTTGCATGCTTTACCCAATATCCCCAAATGTTAACACTGCAAAATTATAATATATCATGACCCAGGGTATTGACACTGATACAGTGTACTAGTTTTATTCAGATTTCCCCAGTTTTACAGGTACTTACGTGTGTGTGTCTGTATTAAGTTCTGCACAATTTTATCATTTGTGTAGGTTCATGTACCCACTCAAGATGTTTAACGGTTCCAACACCACAAAGATCCTTTATGTTGTCCTTTTGGAACTTCACTTTGTCACCCTTGTGGCCCTCCTTTTGTGTCCTAAATCTTGGCAACCACTAATCTGTCCTCCATCTAAAATTGTGGAATTTCAAATGTTATATAAATAGAATCACATACTGTGTGACAATTTGGGATTCACTTTTTCTCTCGCAGCATAATTCCCTGGAGGTTCATCTAAGTTATTGTGTGTATCAGTGATTTAGTCTTTTCATTAAGCTGAGTGTGTTTCCATGGTATGTGCATACCACATTTTCTTTAACCATCTACCTGATGAATGATATATGGGCTCATTCTAGATTTTTTCCATACAGATAAAACTGCTGTGAACATTCTTGTACAGGTATTAGTGTAAACGTGTTTTCATTTCTCTGGCTAAATGTCTAAGTGTGCAGTTGCTCGGTTGTGTGGGTAGTTGTATGTTAGGTTTTTTAAGGAAAATGCCAAACTGTTTTTCCAAAGTGGCTATAGGTATGACAGTAATCTAGTTTCTCCACATCCTTGCCAGCATTTTGTGTTGTGTCTATTTTTTCTTCTAGTCAATCAGACAGACATGTAGTGATATCTTACTGTGATTTTCATTTGTATTTCCCTAATGACTAATGTTGCACATTATTTCATGTGCTTATTTTCTGTTTGTATATCCTCTTCAGTGAAATACCTTTTCATGTCTTTTTTTTTTAAGATTTTATTTATTTATTTGAGAGAGAGAGAGAGCACCAGCAGGGAGGAGGGGCAGAGGGAGGGGAGAAGCAGGCTTACTGCTGAGTCAGGAGGCCAACTTGGGCTTGATCCCAGGACTCAGGGATCATGGCCTGAGCCTAAGACAGATGCTTAACTGACTGAGCCACCCGGGTGCCCCATCTTTTCATGTCTTTTGCTCATTTTCTAATTGGATTCTCTTTATTTTCACTGTTAAGTTTTGAGATTTCTTTATATATTCTAGACACCAGATAATGTGGTTTGCATTTTTTCCCTCCAGGTCTATAGCTTGTCTTTTTATCCTGTTCACAAAGGGAAAAGTTTAAAATTTTTTTTTTTAAGTTTTTTTTTTATTTATTTGAGAGAGAGAGAATGAGAGAGAGCATGAGAGGGAGGAGGATCAGAGGGAGAAGCAGACTCTCCGCTGAGCAGGGAGCCCGATGTGGGACTCGATCCCGGGACTCCAGGATCATGACCTGAGCCGAAGGCAGTCGCTTAACCAACTGAGCCACCCAGGCGCCCCTAAAAGTTTAAAATTTTGAAGTCCAATTTATCAGTTTTTTTTTTTATGGCTTTGCTTTGGTGTCAAACCTAAGTACTTTTTGCCTAACTCTAGATCCTGAAGATTTCTATATTTTGTTTTGTTTTTTTTCCAGAAATTTTATAGTTTTGTTTTGCACTTAAGTTTATGATCCATTTTGAGTTAATTTTCATATACGGTATAGATTTAGTTTGATTTTTTTTTTTTTTTTTGCCTGAGGATATCCAATTGCTCCAGCACCATTTGTTGATCCATTATCCTTTTAATATGTGTCTCCACATTCAAATTAAAATATTTTAGGAAGAAAATAATAAAGCAGATATAAGTTAAGATTTGTTCTTTTGTCTATGTGGGCAGTCCTGCCTTAGGCAATAAGCAGTTACAGAGTTCAGTGTGGCTACTTGAATCATTAACCGTTTGAAGTCAGAATATACTTGAATTCTTGGCCTTTTGGGTATATGTGATTTTTCTTTTTTATCCTACAATCAGGTGAATCCCAGACTTTGTTGGCAGCAGCAGTTGAAAGAGAACGTGCAGCTACAGAAGAACTCCTTGCCAACAAAATTCAGATGTCCTCCATGGAGTCACAGAATTCACTCTTAAGACAGGAAAACAGTAGATTTCAGGCCCAGTTAGAATCAGAGAAAAATAAGCTAAGAAAACTTGAGGATGAAAATAATAGGTGAGCATGTTTTTTGAGTGTTATTCTTGGTAGTTTTGTGACATCTTAAAGCATTTAGAAAAAAGATGTTATAGTGTTTAAAGTCAGAGTCATTAGTAATAGGATATTATAGCCGGATGGTTTTGGGATTCATTGAACTTTAACATAGGCTCGTGAAATTGTGTGGCATGTTCTATATGTATTTGCGTTTTCTAGGGAAAGGATTTATTACTTTAGTCAGGTTTTTTAAAGGAATCTGTAACTACAAAATAGTTTGGAGACTACTCGTTGGAGTTATTTTTATATTTTTATATTTTGCAAGAGTCTTAGCAGTGTTCCAATCTTTCTAAATAAATGTCTAAGTTCTTTGGAACTATAAGCTGTAAAATCCATCTATCTGAAATTGTATTAAGGCTGTGATTCGTGTGGTTTTACTCCCTGAGTTCTTCCTTAGAAATTTTAGTGTAAAAAAAAAATGGCCAAGTAAAAATGATTTATGAAGTAAAATACCTGAATCTCTACAGATACTTTCATAGGACTCCCTAACAAGCTTTTGCAGAATCTGAATCTATTCCAGAATGGTGGTATTCAAATTCCTTTTAGAAAGTCTCTTTTTAAATTAAATCCTAGCTCAGAGCAGCAATGTAGTAAAAAGCACAAAAGTAGTAGTTTGGCTTCTGAGTGTAAAACCCCTGTCATCTGGAAAATACATTTGGAAAATCAAGCTGGTAGTAGAAATATCTATTAAAGAGTTAATAAAGGAGTTAGTTTTCAGTAGTGTGTACTGTCATCTTTGTAGGTACCAGTTTGAATTAGAAAACCTAAAAGATGAATACGTAAGAACGCTTGAAGAGACAAGGAAAGAAAAGGTATTTGCCAGTGTTCGCTTGCCTCTTTGGTCTTCCACTAGAGAATGGTTGGGGATAGTAGCCAACTAATGAGATGCCATGGTGAAGTGGGTAATGTGACTACTTTTGGAACTTGGTCCTTAGTAGTAAAACAAATAGGAATATATACTTTATGTTCCTGACTTTGGAATGGACTTAGAAGGATAATTTAGTACAGAAATTATCTAACTGTACCTCTCTCCATTAGACACTACTGAATAGTCAGTTAGAAATGGAGAAAATGAAAGTTGAACAGGAAAGGAAGAAAGCCATTTTCACCCAAGAAGCAATAAAGGAAAAGGTATTGAATTTTGGATTTTGTTTTGTTTTTGGTGTAACCAGTAGTAGCTGTTGTGATTAATCATTGGTATGTAGTTTTAGCTATACCTTATAAATATCATTTCTTATGTCTAGAATCAATAGAGGGACAGATTTTAGTATCGTAATGAGTATCCTGTCAGAGTGGGTCCAGAGTAATTTGAGTTTATCCAAAGAGATCTGTGATTTCTAGGATTTGAATGATAGAATCTGTTGCCCATTTTTAAATGAATTTTGTGGTCTTTCACTGAAACTAATGCACTTCATTTGGCCTGTAGGCACCTTGGGAATAAAAGTGGTTTATTCACTTTATTTCTGGTTAAGGAAGGTAATTTTTCTGTGAGTTTCCTGTATTTGAAGGATTGGAGTATACTTGGTAGTTAGCCTGTTATATTAAAACTGCCTGTGTGTACATGGAAATCACCTTTTGAATTTATTTGGAATTTAAAAAATATATATTAAAAATAAAATGGATAAGCTGGAAACTTGATGGTTTAGAAAACTCATTAGCAATCTTATTCTAAAGAATTAGGTTTAATTGGTGATATATTGTATAATATATAATAATATGAAGAAGTTCATATACTTGTTAGAACAAAAACATTCTCATTCCATTAAAAATAAATTATGTTGTAATATAAATGGGTCCTGAGATGATTTGACCAAGTCTGTCTACAATTTTAAATTACTATTGTGCCTTTAATAAGACTTCAGAAATCCTTTCTCTAACATTTTATGAGGAAATGAGAATGAGTCTTTGTTGTCATTTGTCCTAGAAAAAGTTTCTTGCTTTTTTTATTTACCATTTTAGTCTTTAATGTGACCTGAATGTTTTTTTCACTCCTTAAGGAACGGAAGCCATTTTCTGTTTCTAGCACTCCCACCATGTCACGTTCGAGTTCAATAAGTGGAGTTGATATGGCAGGGTTACAAACATCTTTTCTGTCTCAGGTGATATTTTATTTCTTACATGTGCCTAGTTGTTAAACTCGATGATAAAGGAAATATGCAGGTAGCATTTTGGCTGTCAGCAATGACCTTGCCATTCCATAGGCAATTCATCTGTATATTCATGAAGGAGTGCTAATTGCACTGAGGAAATAGAGATGATTTTCTACCCTTAAGAAAGTCACGGACATTTCAAAGCAAGAATTAGCAGAACCATTTTGTTTGAACCTTATCATGGAACTCAGTTTATAATAACTGAGTAACTGTATATGGTTTGTTTAATATAGGATGAGCCTCATGATCACTCATTTGGACCAATGTCTGTATCAGCAAATGGAAACAATCTTTATGATGCTGTGAGAATGGGAGCAGGATCCAGCATTATTGAAAATCTACAGTCTCAGCTGAAGCTAAGGGAAGGAGAGATTACTCATTTACAGGTATTGGAAAAATTAAATGTGCTACAGAAGTAAATGAAATTTTGGGGCCCAATAAGTAGCACCCTACATCTCCACCTCACTTCTGAGCAAATTGAGAAATAAAGTAAAATAGTGGCATGTGAAGTTTAAAATATATCACATATATTAATGATAAAGACTAGTTGGAGAAAATAGCCAAAGAAGAGAGCCAAATGATCCTGCTAACTGACTGCCAGAATTAGGGTGACTTATCTACCCCATCACAGCAAATGCGGTGCTGGAGTGGGCCTTCCTATGTGTTGTAGCCTGCCAGCTAAGACTTTTAAGCATCTAAGAGCAGAGAACTCCTGGCAGGCACCTTTTTCCAAACATTAAAAAAAGGGAAGTTGCTGATCTGAACAGTCATTTTATTCTTCTCAGATTTACCACTTAGATAAGTCACTCCCCCTTGTGAGGAAGGAGTGAAGGAGATTAGAGAGATTAGAACTAGAACATCTTGCATGTGAGAGGAAGCATCATGAATGGGGAGGCAGCACTCTCCCATCTTACCTTGCCTTTTAAAAACTTAATGTGGTAAGATGTTAAAACATTTTACCTATTTTCATTGTTGCACTTGATATACTCAGAGGTAAATCTTTCCTTTTAATCTCACTATATAATTTTAGTTAGTTGAAATATTGCTCTATTAAAGAACAAGCGTTTGAATTGGAAAATAGGATCAGAATAATGTTTGTACGTGTTATGTTCATGTAGCCCAGTGTGCTGTACTTGAGGGCCCAGATTAACTTCTTGTGTAGTGATGATAGATTCTATCGATATGACCTGCACAGCTGGGGCTGCATCAAAGTATATTTTTATTTCTCTGAATTTCTGTAGTAATTTAGAATGAATGAAATACATGCTGTTTCTCTAGAGAAAAATACAGGGCTGCATATTTCAAACAGATGATTGGATTTTCTTTAGTTCTTTTTCTTTCATAGTAAGCCCTGTAAGCGGTAACCTCTGAGGAGAGCAGAAACTCTTGTTTTTGCCACTATTTCCTTAAGAAAGAGTTAGCTCATGGCTGTATGTTGACATACTATTTCTCCAAAAATAATATTGAATATATTTATATTAGTAGAAGTATTAAACAAGATATATTTTGATTTAAATTACTTTCTGGTAATGTTTCTCAGCTAGAAATTGGCAACCTAGAAAAAACACGCGCAATAATGGCTGAAGAGCTAGTTAAATTAACAAATCAAAATGATGAACTGGAAGAGAAAGTAAAGGAGATACCCAAACTTCGAACTCAGCTAAGAGTAAGTATTCTTCCTTTAAGGATGAGTCCAAGGGGGCACCTGGGTGGCTTAGTTGATTTGGCGGCTGACTCAAATAGCTCAGGTCATGATCTCAGGGTCATGGGATCTAGCCCCTTGTCGGGCTCCACGTCAGGCTTCACACTTAGCAGGGAGTCTGTTTCAGGATTCTCTCCCTCTGCCTTTCTCCCTGTTGTTCGCACACATGCGCCCTCTCTCTTTCTCTCTCTCTAAAATGAATAAATCCTTAAAAAAAAAAAGAGGATGAGTCCAAGGTATTTTTATCCAGTTACATTAAATTCCATATTGTTAGTTTACATAAAATGCATAAGTTTTAATGATTTGTTTGAAAACAAAATATTAATATTTCAATAAAGAAGTTTCAAGAATCTTCTTGCTTGTCACATTACACAAAGTATTTTTCATAACATGTCGTTCCCAAAATAGGAAAATAACTGGATTTTATTTGACCAAGGCTCATTTATAATACTGTTCTTTTACATGATCTTATTAGTATTTTGTTCATTGATGTTAGATGTATCATCACAACTTGCGTATTTGGTATCAGGAGTCATTGTTAAGCCGTATATGAGAATATATTCTTTCAACTTTTTGGGGGGGGTAAATGCCCGGTAATACTTAAACCACAATGAACCAGAGAGAGTAAAATTTGATCACGTGTTTAATGGGAAAAGAGACAGATTAAGCTTTATATAGGGAGAATTGTAGATTAGTGGAGAGATATGATAAAATTGATAACCATCTGGCTTGGGTTTTTTGTTTTTGTTTTTTTTAATTCCTTTACTCGGCTATTTATTCCAGCAGATTGGAATATCATTTTAATTTTTATAAGAGATTCCTAGGTACTTTTATTTAGATTGTAATGTGTTTACTGTTGACTCATTTATAATATAAATATAATATTAAAGATGTTTTGTAGAGTTATTTTAAAAATTATGAACACATGTTTTGTAGGATTTGGATCAAAGATACAACACTATTCTGCAGATGTATGGAGAAAAAGCAGAAGAGGCAGAAGAACTTCGATTAGATCTTGAAGATGTAAAAAATATGTATAAGACTCAAATAGATGAACTTTTAAGACAAAGGCTCAGTTAACTTCTAAAAATTACATTCCTATCAAACTGAATGTAAACATTTAATATCTAAATGTAGACTTCCAATAAATTCTTTTATAGAATTAGAAAGTGGAATTTACTGTAGAGTTCAAAAACTGAAAAAAAATTGTTTTATAGTATATAGTAATATTTGCAGTTAAATTATTTTGTGCAATATTTGAACTTTATTTTTGAAACTATTCTTTAAAGATTTATTTTTTAAAGCATCAGTGGTTTTTTTGTTTTTGTTTTTGTTTTGTTTTGTTCTGTCTTGATAGCACAGAGATTACTTTTTCTCATATCAGTATGGTTAGGGAAGGAGAGTAGTGTTCATATGTTGTATTGTAAATATATAATTAATTGTATCTGTAATTTATATGTGTTTGTATATATTAAGGACATTTAAAGAGTGATATTAACATATTGAAACTTTGAAATCTTTCACATTTCAACATATCTAATTGCTACTTCATGAACATGGACATTAAGTGTTCTAGTAAAAAAAATTATTAAACCTGCAGTTACTAAATTTTGAACTAATTTTTTTCTTTTAAAGTAGAAGTCACACTGACACTGTCTGACGTTTAAAGGGTGAATGATTTAAACTTTAAAATTTTTGTGGTTTGAGAATTTCTTCACCCGGACTTTACAATAAAGTCTGTACAAATTTTGGTACCTCTCTGGTGAAAGCTGTAGCTATTTAGTTAGTTATATAGGCATGCATGATTGGATAGTGGAAAAATTTACTTAAAATGATTTTGTGATGATATCAGTGACATTTGAGTGATTTTGAAGAGGTATTGTTTTACTATCCTATAAAATGAATCAAAGGTGATTAAAATAATACCATCATTTTCTCTTAAAAACTAATTGTTCACATTTTGTAAAGCCTTATTTTTTGGCACATTCAAAATCAATGTTTGATATTATAGAATATTCATAACAATGTAGAGAAATTATCAGAGTTAATTTAAATTTGGCATTCTGTAATTCTGTATAATTTATCATTTTATTTTTTTCTCAGAACTTTACACACAAAAATAATGTGGAATAGCTTTAAAAAAATAGCTATGCTTTCTTCCAAGTGTTATTTTGTTTAAAAGTTAACCAGGCCTTGTTTTAGATTTGTGAAATATTTTGATACATTTTATTACTGAAAGTCATTTAGCTGACTTTACTTGCAAATAAAAACTCTCATTTAATTTTTAGTTGAATTTTAAACACTAGAACTTTGGAGTATAACTACAAGCAAGCCATGTTGAAGAATTTGGAATGCTTTCAGGGCAATTCAAGTGACCTCATTTTTGTTCTTTTTTATTCCTGACAGTATTTCTGTCATTGGATCTCTGATTTGTAGCACTAATAAATATTCTTTCAGTGTGAACCAAATTCATAAAATTAATTTTCTATATTTTAGTGGTAAAAAGCAGTGTAATAGCTTTTTGTCTGCTTGGACTTTTTTGGGGGGGGTTTTTTTTAATATTCAGGGGCTGACAAGGAATGACAAGACTGATAGCAATAAGAAATGTATAAAATTAGAAAATATAGGAAACTTAAGTTGCAAAATTGTTGAAACTAGAAGTTCAGGAATTATGAAATTATTCTTTTAAAATATCCATTAGCGAGAAAATAAAACCTTCAGTTGTGGAGAAAAGATTCCTGTACCTTTTAATTTCATAATATTAAACATTCTCTTTTCTTAATTCTTATTAACATTAATAAAATCAGTTCAACTTAAAATTTTAAAGCGTCTTTAATTTATTTAACTTAAAAGTGATAAGCAATGGGCGCCTGGGTGGCTCAGATGGTTAAGCGTCTGCCTTCGGCTCAGGTCATGATCCCAGAGTCCTGGGATCGAGTTCCGCATCGGGCTCCCTGCTCCTTGGGAGCCTGTTTCTCCCTCTGCCTCTCTCTCTCTCTCTGTCTCTCTGTCTCTCATGAATAAATAAAAATAAAAAATCTTTAAAAAAAAAAGTGATAAGCAGTTACTTAGGGCTCTGGCTGTATATTATTACCATATGTTCTTTATCCAAAAATTAATAATAGATATTCACATACATTTTATTATACACTTGGATCTCTCAATACATTTATAAGTTGAGAAGGTGTAGTGAATAAGTTTCATGAAAAACTCCCACTAAGTGGCAGAATACCTATTGAAATATTGGTTGCTATATTTTACTGTTGGTCATTAAAACTTCTCTATCCATATTTTATAAAATAATGTTAATATCTTAATGGTTAAGAGAATAGTTTGCAATCAGATGTTTCTCTTGAAAAGAAAATAGATACTAAAAATCGTAACAATTTCAGAAATATGTAAAAGAGGGATGAGCCTTGTTGATATGTAGACAACTGAGCACAGACTGTAGGTGTTTTTCCAACTCTTGGGAAGCTAGATTGAGACTACCAGTTTCTTTCTTTTTCATTGACTCTGTTGAGAAGTTTCAGTTGTGTACTGTTTAGCATATGGGAATGTATTGAATGTATCTATTGTGATTTAAGACATTCTAAATATGGATAATTTCTGACCTAGGGAAACATGAGTTTCTGTAGTTAAGCAAGTGAAAATTTTTTTCTCATGATTCCTCAATTGGCATTTGATAAATAAATTGAAAATTTTATTCAGATGCTTATTAAAAAGTATATGATTTGTAGTATTTAGAAAAAAGCCACAAGAGAAAAGAGAAAATGACTATACTTCATCTTGTTTTACTACTATTTGTCTGGTATGTGTACATTTTCTTCTAGTGTATCATAATTTTTTATTTTCCTTTAAAATTCTAATCTTCCCTATTCCATTCAGTTTTACACTATAATTTTAATTTCATATTTTGTAAAGGGCTAAAGTATGATTTCAACTAGATTGATAAAATATTTTAATTCTAAATGAAAGGTAATATAAATAAGGGTGGATCTGATTTGAATAAAGATTTTAAAATAGTATTAATGTATTTCACTGTTACCATAATTTAGACTGGCCAGTACCAATGAATGAAGGTAGTATTGTTTTATGAAGATAATAGGACTTGTATAACTTTGGAATTCATATTTTAAAATGAGGATAAGCCCAAATTTTCTGAGTTATGAAGAGTGTTATTAGTATTAGACATAGTTTTTCCAATGAAGATATGTTTTTGGAAAACAATTCTGAGAATTTACTTATTGCAACTAAATTACTGTAAGGATGATTTGTGTCTTTTAAAAATCTTAAACACTGTCAGGATACTCTTCTAAAAGTCTTACAATAGTTCTGTATTCAAATAATAATGGATAAAATAAGTTGTCCTCTATTCATAAGTTATTCTGAGTTCATATTGCTTTTAATACTGAACTCTGCAGCTTTGATCCTTAAAAGTACTTGTAAACTTTTGCCTTTACACATAGCCATTTTACCTTTAGCAAATCACGATCCTTTAATAAGATAAAATGGAAATTGTTTCTTTCTTCTTAATACTAAATGCTTCTCAAAACAAAAAACCCAAAATACTTTAGTAGTCCACAGCTGTGGTACAGAGAATTTGCTGTTAGTGCTGTCCAGAATTTAGTCTCCGTTTTGCCCTGCTCCTAAGTAAGGTAAATGTAATTTTAGAATCTTCAAATAATACTAAGCAAGGGGTAATAAGAGCTATTGCTGTTTACTTAATATTAAACTCTCTTGTTGCTTTTATAGGTAGTGATGGACAGATAGAGGTGTTCCTTTCAGTTTTATACAATGCCATGTCCATTTGTCTCTTGAAATTATAATCTTAATTTTTAAAAATACATTCTGTTCAAAAAGCTGTGATCATGTTGATTATAGGAAACACAGTGCTTGCTTTGTTACTGTGGAACTAATTCACTTAAATAGGATCATAATCCCTTATCCACTGTTCTGAAGTCTAGAAAGCTCTGAAAGCTGATAGGTGGTGTTTTTATGTTTGCTGTCAAATCTGCTTTGGTGGTAAAGCCTAACCTTTACTGACATGGGGCTATTTAGAGACTTTATCTCACTCAGTGTGAATATTCATACATTTTGCTGCAGAAATATTGTGTGAGATTATGGCGTGTTGACCCAGGGCACATCGAGGGTGTTAAGTAGTAAACTTAGTGTGCATACCCTATTGTATACAAAAAAATTCAGGCACACATACCGTTCCAAGGATTTTGGAAAAGGGATTGTATACTTGTACTCTATGTTCAAAGCAGCTTTTTAAAGTCACTATTATCATCTCCATTTTTAAAATGAATGGTTTAGTTGCTTAAAGTCATGTAGTAAGTAAGCGGCAAAGATGAGATTCTAATTTGTGCAGTTCGGCTCCAGAGAACATGCTCTGAACCATTAACTGTGCAATGCTGCCTCTCTTACTCCTTTCTGTGAAACCATAAATGTATAGATGAACTGTAGCATAAGGTCAACTTTTGTCAAAATTTATTTGCTTAAAACTTCAGAACCGTTGAATTACATTTTAAGCAGTTGGGTATATCAGATAACCAATAAGCTATATTCTGATAGTTCAGCATTTTGCTGACACTGTGAGCTCTCCAAATGTCAATATATGTCCAACGAGCTTAAAACACATTTAGAAAGATTGTAATGCACCGTAAAAATGATTATATAAAATTTCAAACTTGTACAAAAGAGAACAGATAATGAATCCCCATATACTCATTAACAAACTTATTAACTGTTCAACAGTTCATGGCCCATTTTGTTTCATTTATAGTTCACTTGTGCTTCATCTCAATCCACACTATTCAGAAGAAAACTGCAGACATAAGACTTGATTATCATGTTTAAGTATGGAACATTTTTGTAAAAAGTACCTCATCAACTATTTGGTTACTTGCATCATAATTCATATAGGAAAGATGGGATAAATACACTTGAATTATTTTCTTCATTTACCGGTTTTCATGTTTTTTTTTTTTTTTTTTTTTTTCTAGTTTTCACATAAGCATTGGTTCCCTTTTACCATCAGAGATGAACAATGAGGTTTTGGCTTGTGCATTTGGTTGATTGGTTGTGTCTTCTTGAATATAAGATTTAAGTATATGTGTGCTTCAATCCATTACAGTTACTTTTATTGATGCTTTAAATTATCTTTGGCCAGAGGAAACCTTTTCAGATTGGTTCCTGAGTCCTTTTGATATGGCCCTCATAATCTTTGCTTCCCTGCCTCCTCATGTAAGATTTTTCAGCTTCTTCTTGTACATTACCTGCCCCATATCTAAGATGTTCCTTTTAATGGGAAATGTTTGCAGATCATAGTCTGGGCAAACAGGTGCATCTTGCTACA